ATCCCAAAGGCTCATCGTCGTAGATAGCGTCGAGCCTTTGTTCCTGCATCCCTTCTGGCGTGATATCAGGAGGTTCTGGATCAAAATCCTTTCCAGGACCTGCAGAAGGTGACTCTTGATCATTGGCCTGTGTGGCCATATATTTTACTTCGGCTTCGAGAGCCGTTATCATCCTTGTTTTGGCTACGTAAGCCGAAATTCACTGCAATGATGGTGACTCAGTCATTGTCACTGAATTCACTTCCCCAACCAGTTGGCTGGATATCAGTTAGCCCACTAAAGTCAATGTGGGACAAGTCTTCTCTGTCCCATTGAAAACCATGCTCAGGGTGCAGGTATAGGGAACAAAAAGTATTTGGCGCTGGCGCCAAGTCGAAGTCAGGTGTTAGGCATGGCCCAATGTGAGCCAGGTTTTTGTCGAAGTCTGCCAGCCCTAGGTGATTTACTTCGCCCAGGTAATAGCTTTGGTCCGCTTCTATGTTTTCGACCATTCCATCAGGACGCCATAGTAGCAACCTCTGGTGCATTGATGATGATACAACTCCAACACCATGAATCCATTCACGGCCCAACAAAAGATTATAGTTTGGTTTGGCCGATATGACCATAAACATAGTTGGTCGAAGGATAGATCCCACCTTGATATCCAGTTGGATCACACCCATAGTGGTCCCTATGCCGCCTTCATAATTCGACATGACCATGTTGTGAGGCTTGATGTTTTCATCACTCTTGCCTATTTTTCTCAACATAAAGTGAGGGATGATGTTGATGGTTGCCCCACAGTCTACCAAGATCTTATTTACTGTGGTTTCTTCGAGTTTAGCCCTTATAAATAAAGGCTTGAGGTGATTTTTCATCGCATCTGTAGGAGGTTCGAAGAACCCATTCTGCTCCTCAGTAGCGCCATTATCCATGACGAAATAACACACTGGCCTATGCTTGGCCATTTCTTGCTCAACTTCCCAATCGCTTGTTTCGACCTCCACCTGGCGGTTGAATTCTCTTGGCAAAACTGAGACTATGTTCACCATGATATCTAAGGTGTCATCAGACTCAGAGCCATCTTCGTTATCAACTTCACCCTGGTTAGGCCAGACTAGCCTATTGGTTACTGGTTGTCTTTCCAGAGGCTTCCTCTGCTTTCTCTGAGGAACATTTGAACTCGATTCTGCCTTTGGTTCATTAGCAGCTTCCCTCTCAGCTTTTCGTCGCCTCTGGTATCTCCTCCATTGAGATCGAGACATGGGATTCTTCCCTTTGTAGTTGCTTGACACCTGGGTCACTTTAGGTGTAGCAACCTGAGGTTCTTTCTTATGTGTAAAAGATGAACCTCTGGGCACTTCGAATGAGTGCCATCTTTCCTCGCTTGGCCTCTTTCGACCAGATGTTTTGTACCATGTATCTACTGGCACATTAGTTGGAGGCCTGAAAGTCAGTGGTCTCTTTTCTTGATTTGAACCCTTTTGGTGGGTTCTTCTGGGGTCATGTCGAGTATCAACACTTTCCCTTTTTCTGTTTGCTGCTCTTACACCTTGAATATGTTCAACAGCTTTTTGTCGAAAATCGAACTGCATCGAGGACACAACATCACTTCTGACTTCTTTTTCTGGCATCTTTGCAGGAAATCTGCCAGATTTTTATTTTCCCGAGGGAAAGCAGTTTTGTTGGCTTGTTCTTGCCTAATGGCCTCCTCTGATGCTTTTGGTTCAGAGACTTCGACCATGTTGACATTCATGGTGTCTTTGGTGGCAAGAGTCAACTGCTTCATCTGAATCTCCAAGTCCTCTGTCTGGCCTTGAACTGCAGCCAAGTAAGAACTGGGTTTTGTTCCAGATTTTTGGGCTCCAACTGTCTCCAGCTTTGGGCTTTCGACCTCCTTTTGGACCGCTTCAATTGTCTTTCTGGATAGATTCCCAGAAAAACTGCCAAAGATTGGCATGTTGACATGGTCCTTTGTGACTTCGACCATTGTGATTCCTGGCCTCTTCGCCTGACTTCTGGATGCCTCGATCACGTTCACCTCTGAAGGTTCAGCATAATGGGCTTCAGCCTGTAAAGGGTTGGAGTCCACAGTCATGGGGGTCTTGTCAGCAAACTTCAACCTCCCTTCTTCGATATCGTCTTGCACAAGATTCCTGAAAAGAAAACATTGAAACGTTTTATGGCCCAGAAAATTATGATATTTACAAAAACCTCTTTTCTTTCTTTGATCAAGAGGAGGCACTTTTACCCCTGGGGGTACTATCATTTGGCCATCTTTTACAAGTAAGTCAAAGATTTCATCACATTTTATAATGTCAAAACTATAAGTCTTTTTGGGGAACCTATCGTTGGTCCTTTCTGGACCAGTGGGATTTTTTCCACTTGAAGGGACTAACAGTTTGCAAGAGTATGGTGGCCCTTGTTTCAGTTCCGCTAAATCGACCTCGCTTTCTTCGACGGTTATGGTTTCTTCGAAGGTTTCTGGATCTTCATCATCCATTTCGACATACGCTATCCTCTCTCTTTTATGAGTTTTTGTTGCCTTGGCTTTTTCAGCCTTTAGGCGTTCTACCTGTCGAACTCTATCGGCCAATTGGGCCATGTCTCTCAGGTATTGAGTGTCTAATTTCTTCCTAATGGAATAATCTAAACCGCCTGCGGCTATTTCGACTAACTCATGTCCTGGAACTTGCGTAAAGCATCTTGCTTTGAGCAACCTAAACCTATTTAAATATTCGTCTATAGGTTCAGTGAAACGTCTCTTTACGCTGGCCAATTCTTTCAGGCTTATCTTGGTTTGTCCCATGTAGAATTACTCATGGAACAATCTCTCCAACTGGGTCCAATGATGGATCGAATTGGGGGGGAGAGTTGTAAACCAAGTAAAAGCGTTCTTTGTTAAAGAACTTGGGAAGTACTTAATCCTCAGGTTTTCGTTGTTTGAAATATCTCCTGCTTCGATCAAGTATCTCGCCACATGTTCGACAGTAGATTCTGTCGTGTCCCCTGAGAATTTAGTGAACTTAGGGACTTTACATCTAGGAGGTAAGTCTGTTTGTAACACATATTCTGACAGTGGGGATGTGAAGTTGGGCCTACGAAAGCCCATATTCATCCCATTTTGAGTCATGATTCTTTCGATCATGGCTGCCAGATTATTCTCCAAACCCATATTCTGGTATTGGATATGCTGAACTACTTCGTCAGCATTTTGGTTTCTGTTAACTAACCTTACCTCTGGGGCTATGACCCTAGGTTCTTCGACAGGCTGCTCCAATCGTGCCCTAAGGTTTTCTTCGACAGGCTGCTGGACTTGATTAATAGTGGTTTCTTCCTCTAAGAGTATACCTTGATTTCCCCTTATTTGCGCCCTTTGGGGATGTCGAATAGGTTGGGGTACTCCAAAGAAATCAGCCAGACGCGTCATTTGCGCTGTCATCTGCTGATTCAACTGGGTGGTGTTTTGTATTAGAGGATTCAGCAATGTACTTAAAGTTTGTGCCAACATTTGAACCATATCATGGTTGCTTTCGTCCATTTATTGCCTCAAGACTGCTGTCGAGGTATTTGTAAGACCATGCGCTACTTGGGACGTTCCTCCTAAGAGTTGGGTCCTATTTCTGTTCGCCATACCAACTCCAGAACCTTGGAGTGGCGAAGAGGCACTCACTAAAGGGTCTGAAAAAGTGGACGCAACGTTCGTCAGGCTAGCCAATTCAATCGTTGGCATGCCATATAGTGGTTCTCGATTTGGACCGCCTGTCATAAATCCTGGGGGAACATAAGGCCTGGTGCCTAGATTTCCCCTTGGTGGGGGAGTTTCCAAAGGCACTCTGGGGCCAGTGAACGGAGGTAATGGCCCCGTTGTTGTGACCGTTACTGCTGGTGTTGAACCAGCGGTTAGCGCTTCACTTACGGTTGGGATAACCGTTGTTCCCACATTCGTTTGTGGGATTTCGTTATTGTTTGGCGGATTCGCCATCGCTTCTCTTCTTTTGGAAGTATTGGTATTGTTAGTGTATATTCTACCACTTCTCAATAACATGCAATACTTCTCGAAAAAGATGATATTCTGTATAAAAAGGTTAAACTTCAAAATCAACACAAGGTCCCACCGGGTGTGCCAATTTGTTTACCGTGGGAATTGGTAAACAACCGCTGATCTTCCAAAAGGTTACTTATTTGGTGACTCGCAGGATCGATCAGATTGATCCTAAGACATGGTTGATTTTGGGGTTTTTGACTAAGTTTGATAATGGTTAAATGACAAGAAAATAAAAAAGCTTTATGTAAATTGCATGAAGAAGAAAACTTGATAGAATAAAGAAAAGCTTGAAATGAAGGCTTCGACTGGAAAAGTAAATGAAGAGCAATAAAGTTCTGGAAAATAAATGACTTTGATTAATTAAAGTGGTGTTTCACACATACATTCTCAACAATTCTTTCGCTCACACTGGGTACTTGAATCTATATGAGTGACTTGTATATAATTGTGAACACACGCGAAAAACTGCGTGAACTACTAATATTTATACTAAACACATCCCAAGTAACCGTCGGGCAGTTACGCTGCTTCGAGATGACTCCACTTGGCACGCTCACAGCATTCGACGCTCCAGATCTTGGCACGTTGCACTTGGTAACCGCTGGGAACCGTTTTCCCTCCAAACGTTTGAATCTCAAACCGTTCCACTCTAAGCATCGAACTCCTTTGTCGAGAAGTACCTTCGACGTCGAAGGCAACAGGATTCTCCCTTAGAAGAAATTCTCTAAGTACATTGCCATCTTCTGATGAGCATTTCGACAGAACCAGCTGGTCGAAATCATCTTTCATGCTTTAATGGCTTATATTAATAAAACAAGGGTGTCGAATTTAATTAAGTTTTAGTTTAGATTTAAATTTTAAATTTATAAAAAAAAATTGTTGTTTCATTTTGATTTAGAGAGTTTTCTAATTAAGAAGAAAAATATATAGGAGGTCTTTTGTGGTCTTTTCACAAGACCTATTTGGGTTTATGGATAAGGTTCTGTTGGTGATGTGGTTAGCAGAAAAAATCTCATTCCTCATCACCGATAACATCCGCCTAACACAAACCCACTCTTCCTCCTCACCTGTAACCCCACCCTTCCGCATCTCCCCACGAATCAACATCGGAACCAACACTCTCTTTGTACCACTGCGACACAGTCCGCTCCTTCCAGCTTCTCTCACCGTCTCAGCTTCTCTCCGCCATTGTCGGTAAACTCCAACATCCTTTCATCTGTGTTGTTTGAGCTGAATCGGTTATGTTAAATCCCGTTCAATTTCTGTCACTCTGTTTCATGTTTATGTTAAACTGAATGTTGCCGTTTTGATGATTGATTTACTGTGACGAAATTCTGATGAGAAACGGTTTCGACGCTGTTATCTTTTATTGAAACTGTGATGTGAAAAAACCTGTGATAGATTATGGTTTTAACCGTTAATGTTGAAATTCGTAGCGATAAATTCTGAAAAAAACGATTTGATTGTGTTATAACGTTGATGTCCTTGTTTGACATCATTTGAATAAGGTTGCAAAGTTGTCTCGAGTTAATCTTGTATTGAAAATTCTGGTATATTTGTGTCGATATCATGTTGTTTCATTGGAATTTTTTGGTTAATACGTGTTAGATCATGTTGAGTTTTGATGGATTTTTGTGATATGATTGTGAAGGATAAGCGTTTCTAGTATTACCCGTTTTTGGTTTATTGTTATGTCATGTTTGTTGGATTCAATTTGAAAAAGTTTTGGTTGTATTTGAGTTTGAATTCAAATGAGAAAATTCAATTGTGATACCAAAGTTTTCCGGGTGCGTCGAACACTTTTCGAGATGATTTTTTGAGTGTTAATTTATGTTTTGGTAATTGCTGTCCGGATTTTTGTTTAGGAGATTAAATCTTGTGTTGAAATTGATTCTTCATGTCTTGAATTCAAAGTGAGTAATAGCATGAATTCTTGACTCTCGTTTCATTTGTGATTAGAAAATCATGCTTACTATTGTGTTTACTTGACTTTGAACGTGTTTAGAACAATGAATGCAATGCTGAATTTTCGTGTTTACATTAAGTAATGACATAAACTCTTGATTCTTGAAAAGTGTTCATGTAAATTATGCAAGTCTTCATTTGGTTTTAATTTCTCTTGTGATTTCTAACTTGGTGTATGGTTTGTGCAGCTTTCAAGTAGCTCATGTGTTCACTTTCATCTTAGCACTACTTTGTTGCTTTTAGTTAATTAATTAAAAGCTGATTTAGTTGTTTGATTTTGTTACTAAAAATTAATTAGTTTTGCTAATTAATTTTTCTTAATTTAATTAAGGCTTAAATGCAGTTTTGACCCCCCTAGTTTAAGGTTTTTGGAGTTTCGATCCCCCTAGTTTAAAAGCCAGGTTTCTAGTCCTCAAACTTTTCAAATTTGGGATTTTTGAAGCCCCCTCCATCTGGCTGCCCAAAAAGTGACGTGGCAATGTCACGTTTTTTTTTTTAAAAAAAAATTTTTTTTTTTCTTCTCCTCATGGGCAAAATTAAGGTTCGAAAGAAATTTTTTTTTTTTTTTTAAAAAATAAAAATAAAAAAAATAAATTACGTGGCATTGCCACGTCACTTTTTGGGCAGCCAGATGGAGGGGACTTCAAAAATCCCAAATTTGAAAAGTTTGGGGACTAGAAACCTAACTTTTAAACTAGGGGGATCGAAACTCCAAAAACCTTAAACTAGGGGGGTCAAAACTGCATTTAAGCCTTTAATTAATTAACTTAATCAATTTTTAGTTAATTAATTAAACATCAATTTCATATTTCATTTAGCTTTGATACATGTTCCTAACTCACTTTGGCCTGACTTCTCGTTTCATGTGAGACACTTGGACTATTTCTCTGTTATCATGACTTTGTCTGTTTGTTGGGAATTTTAACTGATACAGTGATTCTTATCTGATGCTTTGAGCTTTATCCAATGCTTTGAGTTTTATCTGACGCCTTGGGTTTCTCTGATACTGTTTGTGATTTATTTTCACATGATATCTGGTATACTCTTGTCTTATTTATTTTCTTGTGGCTTTAATCTAAAGGATGATAATTCTTATTGATTTTATTTGTCAAGTGTCGGCTTCCATTTGATCAGACTTTTCTTACCTTAACTTTTACTTTCTTGTACATAGGATAATCTCTTCTTCTCCTACCCTATTCTTTAATTTTCAAAACATTCTCATCTTTTTAAAAATCTTCTTGTTTTCAATAAACTTTAAACTACTTTCATAATAAATCTTGATTTTGTCAAGCGATTTTTTTCTCAAACTTCTTTTTTCTTAATCAAAACTTAAAATACTTAACAAATAAAGATCGAATCGTATATAGTTGTCTCTTATGGGGACTAGTGAGGCGGTGCATTTTGAACCTTGCTCTTTCTTCCATTTCTGGACTTTATTATGATTTAATTCGCAAATCCTTTTTCAAGCTAACAAAATACTTCAACTCATTCAAATCTTTTTTGTGCCCTCGTGCACATGTTCTCCTTAAAATCTTTTTTCAATATTAGACATGATTCATTTATAATCGAGATGTTATCTCCATATCCTCATGATTGTAAAGATGTCGACTTCTCCATTTGAGTACTAGAGGTGTGTCCAAACCCTCTTCATGTTGGTGCATAGTCCCCGTTTTTTTCATACTTTGTGGGCGATTAGTTGAGATTTCTCTCTTAAAAATGATGACTTGTCTATTCATTTAAAATCAACCAACACACAGTTTTATTCTTTTTTTAGAAGAACTACGAGTACTATGATCCCTTATTGCACGAATGAGGTACGTAGGCACAAAGATTCGCAATCGCGGATGGCGTAATAATAAAAAATCTTTTGTTTGTAAATATCTATTCACACTTTCTCTTTAGCAAGTTTAAGCTTTAGATAACACTCTCTGATTAAAACGAATAAAATAGATCATGCGGAGTACTGTAAATGTTTAGGGTGCTAATACATTCCATTTGCATAATTGATCCCCGTACCTTGATCTATATTTTTTTTTATTCGCTCTTTTTCCATTTCCCTTTGAAAACAATAAAGTGCGGTGGTGACTTTCACTGTATGAGTTAAGTCAATTAATCACTTAGTCTCAAAATTTTACCGCTACATTTCGCTACTTGCGACACAAGTGTCGACTTTTTAATTGGTTAAATCCTTCCTTACCTTAGCTTTTACTTTATGTTTTAGGATAATCTTTTCATCTCCTCCCATTCTTCAATTTTTAAAATATTCTCATTTTTTTAAACCTTCTTGTTTTTCTAACTCTAACCGCTTTCATAATAAACTTTGACTTTGTCAAGTGACTTTTCAAACTTCTTTTCTTTATCAAATCTCAAAAACACATAACAAATAAAGAGGCGACCCATATGTCACGGGCCTTAAATAGTAGGATAAGGATAGGGCGGCACATTCCAAACCTTGCTCTTCCTCTCATTCATAGTCTTTAATGTGATTAAAATCATCGAACCCTCTTTCAAAATACTAAAAAAAAAATACAAATTTCATTCAAACCTTTTTGTGCCTTCGTGCACCTTTTCTCCTTTAAAACTTTTTTCAAGATTAAACATGATTCATTTATAATATAGATGTCATTTCTCTATCTCCACGATTGTAATGATGTCGACTTTTTCCACTTGAGTACTAGAGGTCTGTCCAAACCCTCCCTCATGTTGGTACATTGTCCCTCTTTCTCATAATTTATGAACGATTAGTCGAGTCTTCTCCTTAAAAATGATGACTTGTCTCTTCATTTAAAGTCAACCAACAAAGAAACCTTTTTGAGAAGGACTATGGTGCTCTGATTCTCTATTGCACAACGGGGATTCGTAGGCACAGGATTTTGAAACCAAGGCGAGCGCATTAATAAAAAAATTTCTTTTTTAACAATTCATTTTCATGCATTTTCTTTAGCAAGTTTAAGCTTTAGATAACACATCTCTTTGATTAGAACAAACATAGTGGATCCTACAGAATATCGTAGATGTTTAAGGTGTTAATACATTCTCTTTGCATAACCGACCCCCGTGCCTTAATCTCTATTTCTTTTGTGGGTTTTATTCGCTCTTTTCCCATTTTCCTATGGAAATAATAAAATACGGTGGTGACTTTCACTTTTTGAGTTAAGTCAATCAATGACTTAAACTCAAATTTTCATCGTCACGTGATTTCAACTTTACCATTTGAAAGCTATAATTCTTCACATCGCGGGGTTATAACAATTATTCTTGTATTGAGTTTGAAGCATTTACCTTGTAGCAGTTTAATCTTGCCGGCATTATTTTCACATTCAAGTTTTTCTGTTGACTTATTTTTGTACTAGATTCAAGTCTCTATCGGAGTAGATTTTTATTATTAAGCATATTTTATTATATTGTTTGATCTTTTATATGCATGTTGCTTCTCTTACTCTGCAAAAATCTATTTTCTTTAAGCTTTAATTTCTAAATCGCATCGCTATATTTTTGTTCATGTTCTTACTTTGTGTTCTAAATTCAATTTATCAATTGCATGTTCTTAATTTTAATTGATATGCTTAATATGTTTAATCTCAAGTTTTCATTGCATGTTTTATCGTTTATCATGAATATGTCTAGATAAATTTATAATTCTGGAATATGAGGATCGTTGATTCAACGGTACTCTGAATGTTACTCCTTTAAAATACTTTTGGGGGCTGTTTTGGTTTTATTTCAATTTTATGTTATTAATTTTGATTCGGTTACTACGAAAGTGGAACTGTAAATACACCGGGTAAGATCGAAATTCGTCTAGTACCGAGATTAAATTGTTAAGTCTTTTATTAATAAACACTGCGAAAGCACTTTATTAATTAATTATGAAATTTTGTTATTTTCGGAAAGTGATTTTAAAACTATTTTCGGACGCGTTTATAAGTATAAGATCCGGTTGTTCGAGCGAAAGTCAAGAACCCTTTAAAGTCTAATTTTCCAATCAAAACTACTTTTCAACTAAGTGAAAGAATTTAATTTCTAAAAAAATGGGTTTTGTTACTTTAAAGCAAAGTGTGTCGGGTATGCGAGAGCGAACTGCATAAATTAAAGAATAAAATCCGGTTTCGATTACGCTAGAGCGACAATTCCTTTTTGATTAATTCTTTTTCAAGGAAGAAAGCATTGTTCCATAGGTAGTTCTATTTAGGAATAATAAGCGTATCATTGGTCAATGAGAGCTGCATTTCAGTATTTCATTTCTGAATTCATTCAAGTTATAATTTTATTTTGTTTTCCCGCTCCAATATTAATTTTTGACCGCCTTAGATAAATATCGTAGCAATAGAAAATGATAGATTGACCATTAGGTCTCTGTGGATTCGACACTCTTTATATTACTCTGATAAACTTCGTATACTTGCAAAAGCAACCCATCAAGTTTTTGGCGCCATTGTCGGGGACCAATTTCGTCAAATATCGTAACCCTGTTATTACACCATCTAGATTAAGACACCTTTTTTTGGTCAATGCAAAGAACTCATAGTACTAGAACTTTAGGAGATCCAATGGAAGAACCAGAGAGATACACATGTGCACGACTTTTGCTCCAACGAATCAGGAGAGCAATGGTTGAAGAAAATGATTGCAAGACACTTAAGGACTTTGCCCTACCTTCTAACGAAGAATCTCATTCAAGTATAGTTAACCCTGCTATCCCAGCCCACAACTTTGAAATGAAACTAGCTTTGTTGTAGATCGTGCAGCAAAACCACTTTGCTGGTCTCCCATCAGAGAACCCAAGCTAACACTTAAACGTGTTAATTTAACTAGCTGAGACATTAATGCCAATGGCGCTCCTCCTGAGGCAATACATTTACGTTTATTTGCCTTTTCCATCAGAGAAAGAGAAAGATCATGGCTATACTCCCTTCCAACAAATTCAATCACTACTTGGAATGACCTGAAAAAAGTATTCCTTGCTAGATACTTTTCACCAAGAAAAACTCCTATCTTACGAAACCAAATAACCAGATTCACCCAATAAGATGGTGAATCCCTTTTCGAGGTTTGGGAAAGATACAAAGAGCTATTTAGTGCTTGTCCACACCATGAATTAGAATAACGGTGTTAGATCCATCGTTTTAGGGTTGACAGTAATTTTGCTAAAACATGGTTCTCTAAGGATATTGAGCAAGATGTCATAACATCTTGATCAAACTGATACAATAGAGTATGAGCTTACACTAAAAAACATATGT